TATATACAAACAAAAAGAAAGAAAAAAGGTTGCAACACAAAATATGCTGCATTAGAAAAAATTATATAGTACTCTAATATTGAATAGTATTCAGAAACTGAATAATCTGTTAATAATAAAACAAAACAAATAAACTTCTAATAAATTTTATTAATTTGATACGCGTATTGAAAAAGATATTTGTATCAAAGCATAAACTATTAAGCTTAATAAACTAAATATAAATAGGCTAAGGGGTATTGTTTCGTAATATTATTACATTGTCATTCAGTATCGATATCTTTATTATGACTTATAAAAAAAATAAAGTAATTGTTAAAAAACCTGCTATATTACAAACAAAAAAACGTAAGTATAACAAAGTGCTCTGTTTCTGTAGTATGTGTAATGGTCAAGAAAAAGATCCAAGAGTTAAAGCAGAACATGAAGCACAAGAACAAAAACCTCTTAAAATAAAGGAAAAATGCATTATATCAAACTGCCAAGTTAGATATCAGCTAGGAGATACCTCTAATGGTGAAGGGTCTTCAAATATGATAAATAAAGTTGCTTTAATGGATCAGAATATTGCTTTCATAAGTCAGGATATTGGTTCAATGGATGGTGAAATATCGGATAATGAGATATACAATTTTTCACCTCTTCCTCAGTCTGAAAATCTTCAGTTCCTTGTCAAGTAGCTACCCAAAGATTTTCATAATGCAAAATTATCTTTGTTTTATTCTGGTGAAGATTTGTCATTTTTTTCTGATGATGACAATAAAAATGATATATGAGAAGTGATAAAGATTATGAAACTGAAGAAGAGAGTGAAGAAGAGGATGTAATAAATTTCGATGCATCTGATATAGATGATAGTCCAGAAGCCAATATCCGAAATGTTAATGAAGATGTATTGCGAATTATATTATAGATTTTCCATTACCAACAAAGATATCAGCATTCTGATACGAGTATTAATGTTTTGTTTAAATATTTTCAGTTTTTGTTAACCAATATTAGCAAGGAAAAATATGATAGTTTTCCTACTTCAATTAATGTAGCAAAAAATATTATTG